ACCCGGTGGCTGTAAGCATCCCACCTCCTCTCCTACACCTGACAGGCAGCTGCCTGTCTAGTGTAGCAGGGGGAGGAGTATTAGAAGCCACGGTGGAGGTGAGGCTGCACCTGACAGACAACTGCCTGTTAGGTGTAGGAAGTGGGGGAAGTGTGTTGGAAGCCACCCCACCTCCTCTCCTACATCTGACAGGCAGTATAGGAGAGGGAGGGAGGGGGAATATTAGAAGCCACAGTGGAGGTGGGGCTGCACCTGACAGGCAACCGTCTGTTAAGTGTAGGAGGTAGGGGGAGTGTGTTGGAAGCCATTAGAGAGGCTGGGCCAGCAGCTTTGCTTCACCTCACAGGTGGTTCTTGGCCACTCCTGATTTCCTCAACTGTCATTAGCTGTCTGCAGTCCCCTGTAACTGTTGGCTTTTTTTAACCTCAGAACACTGAGCTGTGCAGCTGACCAATGAGAGAGTGGGGGGTGCAGAGACAGAGCTGCCTGGCAGCTGCAAAGGAATCAATGGGGGGAGCACATTTTCCCCCTTTTGACCCACTTAGGGGCCGAATTTCTAAAAATCCCTTCTTAGCAAGCACCTATGCCACGGTGGGAGCGCTCTCCCCGAATTTGGTGTCTCTAGGTCCAGCAGTTTGGCCTGGGCATTAATTTTACGGGGAGGGGACTTTTTTATATATATGTAGAAGGGGGCAGTGACATGAAAAGGTTTGGGAACCACTGCTTTTCCCTTCTCTGGTGAGCCCCATCCCCAACACCATTGCTTACCTATATGTAGGGTGTTTTGTCCTCGCAGCCCCAGTTGCAGCTGTTGGACAGAAGTTCCTGAACGGTGTTTATATCTGGATTCCTGATGCAGGATAACTCTGTTAATGCTGTGAGAAGACAAGCATCATTTCAACAACCTTTTGTTAATTTTATTCTCCTTGGCAATTGTCTGTAGTTTAAGCAAGTGCTCACCTTATGCAAAATCTCACAGTGTAGAGTTCCCAGTTGTCTGTTCCTAGTTCTCTCAACATGGCCAGATTGAAGGAGCTCCATGCCATATGTCCTGATATATGATATTTGTGTTTCCTGGCTGAGTCTTGCAGGTAAACTACATGTTACATGGAAGGACTGCCAATTTCTTTGAGACAGCGGTGAGATACGACTGTGTAACGCACTCACTCTGCACTGTTGTTCTAATCAAAACAGTCACTAGAGTGCTGCTTGTTCTAAAGGGAAAATAGTATGGATATAAACAGACCAGCTGGGTGTGTGTGAGGTTTTACCAGAAATAAAAGCAGCCCAATAGGTGTCATAATTCATCCCCTATGCTTTTTTCCCCCTGATAAAACCTCACCCCTCCAAAGAAACTGGCAGCCCCACTATGGCTCCATTTCAGTTAACAAATAAAGCCAGAATATTCAGCCATGGATGTCCTGCTTAATGTATATTTTGGCTTTATATCTTCCTCATCCTACCCTCCACTATGGCTGCCAGAGTACAGAGGGAGGAGGTGGGAACTTTTGTCTTGAGCTCTCCGTTTAGTTCAGAGGACATGTTCTTAACATGCCATCTTTTTTGGAAGCAAAATATTAGACCATCATAATGGATAAAACTGATCCCTGAGTGAGCACAGGATTCTGACCAAGACCCACTTTTCCTCTGCTATGCTCTTGCAATGGTGGTAACTTCAAGGGTATTGCTCACTCCTTTGGTCTATAGGAGTGGGTGGGCCCGATCAGGTGTCCACGGCATTTTTTAATGGCTGCATTCAGCTCTAAAAGGGTGTCAGCAGCCATGGTTCTGACTCAATGAACACCATAATGTCTAGTTTGGCCCTCAGGGATTGGATTACTCTGCGTTGCTCTGGAAGAAGATTTGCCAGAAACCCTTTGAGCTTCTGATTATGTTATATATAATTTTAAATGTTTCAAGGAATTGCTTCCCATTTATTGTTTGTTGTCATTTACTGTAACAGCTTTTGGGCAATGTCTATAGAGTATAAATTCAATAATAATGGTAAACAACACAGTAACAGAGCAACTAGTTTGAAAGTCTTTGCCTTCTTTGTATTTTGTACACATGCTACTAAAGAGAAAGAACCTATTTAGTAGCACCATCTTTAGATTATTTTGAAAATCTATGACATCATTTTCTGTTGATACACTATACACTATAACCATCTACAGCCTTCCTAAACACACATCACACACAATGGTTAGGAAGTCATTATTTAGAAACAAACCACTAACACAGTATCTCCCTCCCACTCCTCATAGAGAAAGCCTTACATTCAAGCTTGCAAAGGCCTCACACACCTGAAATGGAGTTGGATCCCAGTCAATAATATGCTACGTATATCAAAAATCAATTATATTAGTATACTACTAAAGCAAGAAAACAACATTCCTATAGCATTTTCCCCACTTCTTATCCACAGTCTCTTATAACAAAGTACAATTCCAGCATAGACAGTTACTATGACCCATGCCAACACCACAGCGCTGCACCCCACAGATACTAATTAGACTGCTGGTGGAAATTACATGTTTCAGTTTCAGCTGCATATAGTGCCATAAATAGTTAAGGAATGGCCAAATGTGTATTGACTGAAAATTAAAATAGATATGCATGTTTAATTGTATCTAGAAAAATCCCCTCCATATATTATTTTATGCCCCTTGAATTAAAATTATGATCTATCTGAAAACTCTGGCTCTTAGTACAAGAAATATACAGAAGTTGCAGATAAAACTTTTTCTCACTCAATCACTACTATATTTTGTTTAAACCAGAAGTACAAACCACCACCCCTCAAACTACTGAACCTCCTGTATCACTCTGTCCACACTGACAGATGTGTCATGCATCTTCCTTCAACAGTATTTAAGGAGGAGTGTAAACGCCTTGGCTGAATTAGGGTCTCACTGTTGAAAAGATTCACTAACTTGCATCTCCACAGGTCTTAAGGTCTAATATTCATTTACATTAAAAAAAGGATTTTACCAAAAGTACCAGTAAATAACATTGCAGATCATTCTAATTGTCATTAAGATACATCCTGTTATTTACCTCCTAAAAATACAGTAATCCTAAAAACAGGTACTTCAGGAGCCACCTGTACCAGAAATCAATGGCATTGCTTTGGAAAATCTAAAATGGAAATCAACAGAATTATTTCCAGAGCAAGTGACTTGGGGAGAACAAGTAAAAGTGATTTTAAAATTAAATAATATCAAATTAAAATGAATTTAGAACATAAGTCTCAAAAATGGAATGTTTCAACATTATAATTCTTTCTTACTCAAAATATTAAGATATCTATACATATTTAAGGTCAACTGTTGTTGCAGCACAATATAGCTCACCTGGGTTTGTCTGATATTCCACAGCCCCAGATGGATAGGTTGGAGAAAATGAGTATACACTTCCCAGAAGATTTTAAGTATTTCTCACCCTTAATGTTTATAGTCCATCTGTATTTATTTCCCCAATTTGCATCACTTTGTAAGAAATGCTTGGTCTTGCTCTTCAATGCTATATGCATTTTGAAAGTGGAACTGTAATTTGTTTCAGGAGGGATATTTTGTGTAAAACTGGGTCACGCTCTATGAATTAATGTATGGTTTAGTCTGAAAGAAGCAGACATGGGGTCATCTTTTTCAGTCTTCTGCACAGATGTGTCGGTAGCATCTACAAAAATTTCTCCATTTTCAACAATTAGGCATCAAACTGGCTGGAAAAGAGACTTGGAAGCTTGTTTCATTTACAGAGTAGGTATTTTGATCCTATCACAATGTGAAGAACAATTGAAACCGTTCCATGTTCTCTCTTTTCTTCTTGATTCTGTAGGCACCAGAACTCTGAGAATTTTGCATATCTTAAAAATAGTGCATAAAGAATAATGCCTAGTTTCCACACCTAAATCTCTCAGGGATTAATTCTGTGTGTGTGCTTTATGAGAGCAGCGGCTTTTCTGTGGAATCACAGAAGTTGGAACCATCTGGAATGGTTACTATAGCAACAGCAAAGGACGGGGAGAGAAGGGATGGATGCCATGACAACCTCTGGGAGTTTCCCAGGAAACCAAAGTTGCTATGGAAACTCCATCACTCAGGTCCAAATTAGTAACTTCCGCTGCAAGGCGTGTTTGCCACTTTAATCTTCTTGTGATAGATGCAGCCGCTTATCTTAAATGCATTCAAAATGGATGGCAATATCCCCTTTGTTTCTAAGGTTCTGATGGGTTTTGATTGCGGCTTCAGTCACTGCAAAAAGCCCATCACTGATTCATTAGAAGCCTAAACATTCCTAATATGTAGAACAACAAGTGCTCAGGATACTATTTTGTGTGTCAGTTGTTTAGCCTTGTGATATAAGAAGTATATTCCACTATACCATACAGCTAGGATTTCAGATTCAATGAAACAATTCTATGGGTTTGAGGACTGAAGAAATCCTGAGTCATAATGAAGACTTTTCTTTCATATCAAAAGGATTACTCCCATATCTAGGACAGATTTGAATTCCACACAAGCTCTAACCTGGCATAAAGTCATCAAGATTGTACCAGTACCAGGCATCATTTTGCAATGTAGTGGCAGAGATGCTTTGTGAAATTAAATAACTATAATTTTTGCTGTCTGTAACATGGCTACATGGGCTTTTCCTTTCACTTCATCACCTGCAAGTGCATATATGTAAGGAAACGAAAATCAGCAACATAGTTGCTCTTTGCAAAATCAGACAAGAAGCATGTTCCCCAACAAAACTCAAAGGCCCTGTAACAAACATAACACAGAACAAAAACCTGTTTCGGGATGGAGCAGCCCATTCTTCTTTGTGTCCTTCTTAAAGTCTGCTTCTAAAACTCTTCACATTTGCTCTTCAGAAAGAAGGATCAGAAAAGTACATGTATTAAACAGGAGCACAAAGATTAACGATGGTGCATGTTCCTCACAATACTGATTACACAGACCTCCTGTAATATTTTTACATACCCTTGAAGGCTATCTTTAAACATCTGTAAAAATCTTCTTAATGTTCACACAGTTGGGATTGTTTGTGGCTGTGCAATTGCCTGTTTTAAAAGCAGCCTGTTTGAATGCACTGTTACTGATGCCTCCCTCTTCTATCACCATGTACTCTGACTTGCTGAATGTGGAATTGCTACGAGCTTTCCTCAGTTCCTCAGTGGAGGAGAGGTGCTGGCAGCTTCCTACATGCATGTATTGGGCTTGTTCTTCACCTTCTGTTTCCCGGTGATAAAAGTAGTTGAAGTTGGATACTATGACGGGCACTGGCAAAGCAATGGTCAGCACCCCAGCTATGGCACAGAGAGACCCAACTATTTTGCCTCCAATAGTGACTGGGTGCATGTCCCCATAACCCACTGTAGTCATAGTCACTACAGCCCACCAAAAGGCATCAGGAATACTGCTGAAACTTGAGGTGGGATCGTCAGCCTCTGCAAAGTAGACCGCACTAGAAAATAGGATAACTCCAATGAAGAGGAAGAAAATAAGCAAGCCCAGCTCCCTCATGCTGGCCTTGAGAGTTTGCCCCAAGATCTGCAGTCCCTTGGAGTGCCGAGAAAGCTTGAATATCCGGAAGACTCTGACAAGTCGAATGACTCTGAGAATGGCCAGGGACATCGCCTGTTGGCCATTCCCCTGCCTCTCAGCCAACTCAGTCCCCAGAGTGATGAAATAAGGTATAATAGCCACAATGTCAATTATGTTCATAATGTTCTTAGAGAAAGTGGGCTTACTGGGACAGGCAAAGAAGCGGACAAGCAACTCAAAAGAGAACCAGATAATGCACAAAGTCTCAACCACAAAAAAGGGATCGGTGAAAGATGACACCATGGAGGCTGTTGAGGAAGAAGAATTTGTGAAGATATCTGCCACAAAAGGACCACCACCAGTCCCAACGGTAGCTTCATAGTCACGGTCATCTCTGAACTCAGGCAAGGTTTCAAGGCAGAAAATAACAATGGAGATGAGGATAACCAGTACTGATACAATAGCAATGCCCCGGGCTGGTCCAGAACTCTCTGGGTACTCAAAGAGGAGCCACACCTGGCGCTGGAACTCCTTTTCAGGTAGAGGTCTCTGCTCCTCGCGAATGAAACCTTCGTCTTCTCGGAATTTTTCCATAGCTTCCTCTCCCAGTTGATAGAAACGAATCTCTTCTGAGAAGATGTCAATGGGTACATTGACAGGGCGCCGGATACGGCCTCCAGACTGGTAGTAGTAGAGGATGGCATCGAAGCTGGGGCGATTGCGGTCAAAGAAATATTCATTTCGAAGGGGGTCAAAGTACCGCATCCTCTTGCGGGGGTCCCCCAGCAGTGTCTCAGGGAACTGGGCAAGTGTCTTGAGTTGGGTCTCAAAGCGGAGACCGGAGATATTGATCACCACTCGCTCGCAACACTCGTGCTCTCCATCGCCACCGCTGCCCACTTGGTGATGCGCAGGGGGAGGTAAGGTGTGCGCCATGGGGTGGTCATAGCGCTCCCCTCCCAGCAGGGCGTGGGGGTGCTGGGACTCTTCGAGCAGAGGGTCTTCTCCTCCCACCCCCGTCATGCCCCGCTCCAGCTCCCCCTCCTCCTCCTCCTCCTCTTCGTCCTCCTGCCTGTGCTGAGGGCCGGCGAGGGCGCCCTCGGGGAAGAGCTGCTCGCTGTAGCCCAGGTTGTGGTGGCTGCTCCCCACTATGCCGCCGCCGCCGCCGCCGCCGCCGCCGTGCCTGCCGGAGGACGGGGCGGCCGGAGAGCGCAGCAGGCTCAGGGGCTCGTCCATC